GGCTAACGCATTCACAGAAATTCGCTCATGCTGCTTTAACCACTTGGAATGAAACTCTGTTCTCAGCTACAGCACAAGGTAACTAACTGCTTGGCCTTTTGCAGATTTACTCCCTGTTTAATATCTCTGATACTAAGTACACTTAGGTAGTATCTTTAGACTTGTTGTTATAGGTGTAGTACTTGAATCTATAGTTGGGTAAACAGGTAATTGGATTTATGGTTTAATTCACATTGAAACTAATGGTCACTTGAAGTCCAGGCTGCTTAGGTCATCCTACTGGATACCTGTGCCAAGGTAAGTTGAACCTACAGAATCTGCATGCACCTGCTTTTAAGGAGACATCATCTTCAAAGTATGGACATGGCTTTTAAAATATGAACTTCTCTATACTGGGCTGCATACTTTGAGGTGTGTGTGTATATATCTATATACATTTTTAACTTTGAAAAGTACGTTTTGCTATTTCAGTGTCTCTGCAGGCCCTTTTTGTGTGCATTGGCAACCATACCAAAAATACAAACCATGGTTCAGTCAGATTTGGAAGGTAGCGGTTTTATTGCAGCTTGGCCTAGGCACAGGATTTTTTCCACATAGCTGTTTGCATCCTTCTGTGTTTCTCCATGCAGCTGTTGGACTGCATCCTTCTGCTTTCCACCTTGCCACCCTGTTTGGCTTGCACATCTCTTTGCCTGCTCTGAATGGGACCTGAGTGTGTTGCTCCACTCTGTTGTGCCTCTCCTTTAGACAAGCTCTCCTCTGCTGAGGAGCTAGAAGAAAACTGCCACAGGGACGTAGCCACACTGTGGGGAGAAAAGCAGTGTTTGAAAAGCACCCTAAGCAGGCAACCTGTGAATGGCTCCAGTGTGGCCATGCCTCAAGTCCAGCAACCAAAATGTAACAATGGCTGCAAACTTCTGGAGCCCCCCTTGTCCTAGGCTAGCGAAAAGCAGCCTTGTGTTTGGCATGGGGACTTGCTGAAGCTGGGAAGGATTGGGTGAAACACTCCTTGGTGCCTCCGCAAGCGCCCGAGGCCGCGCCGTGCGCCAGTGCAACGTGCTGCGAGGTGACCAGGACTCGTCTCCGCCACCTCGTTAAGGGGTAATGCAGAGTTGGAGGTAGGAATCTGGCACTTCTGGAGTCTGAACTTATATCTGCATTAAATGGAGTGGTTCCATATCAGAAGGAATGAAAGGGAAGGAGGATTCCCCACATAATGGTTTTAGTAGCCACTGATTCAGGACTGCATGCAAATTTGTGTCTCTTTTGTACTAATCTAAGTGGGTATGTTTTTATCTCTTTAAGTTTTGTCATTGTCCTTTGTACAGAACAGGGGTAACCCATCCACTGAGTGACCATTACTGCTGCTTGGTAGTTTCATTTAAGTAATTTTTCTCCTGTTAGAAGCTTTCATTACTTTTGAAAAAGCAGTTCAGTACTCACCCAAAAGTCACTAACCAATGTTAGCCGTAATAGTAACTAGTAATCATGTTTGTGAATGAATCAAAAAGATTTGAGTCATTCTTGTGGAAAGCTGAATTCGCACTCAAGACTGGGATAAATACATGTAGTTCACCTGAGGTGAGCATTATTTACGACAATGCTGTGTTTGGTCCTGGAAACACAAATCTTAGAACTTCTTTTAAACCTAAAAAACTTCTGTCATCAGTGGTCACTAACAGTTTGCTAAGCAGTAGCCTAAGTGTTTTCAGGGTTGCAAGAATATCAAACATAAACGAAGAGCTAATGATAAGTAGACTGAAAAATATTCTGGAGGTAGATAGTATCTCTGACTTCATAAATATTATGTTTAGCTATAGAGCAGAAAGTCCTATTGCTACTCTGTGTAGAAAAAAAAAAAAAAAAAAAAAGTATTGCCATCATATGAATTTCAACTGAAATATTAGTGTTCAGAAAATCATCAGACTTTGGGATGTGAACTTTTCTTGGTCTGCGACTGTCTCACTCTGTGGCTGTGTTGAGATTAGCAATGCGATGGCTCACGGAGCCGCAGTCTTCAGTATGCAGCGCAGCCACTTCTCATCTTCAGTCACTCAGACTTGCATTTCTTTTTTTTCCCTGGAAAATGTCGAAGAATTCATAGATCAAAACTCAGGATTTGACACAAAGACAGAGGTACTGGATTTGAGAGAAAATCAAATTGAGGAATTGGGACAAGATCTCTTTACTTGTTGGGTAGTAAGAATTTAGTCTGCAACAATATCCCTTTTAAGATACCAGCTTCTCAAACTTCCTGCACTTGCTAACATTAGACTTGGTCCATCTTTGGTCAGAAGAAACCTGTTAATCTAGATGGAACTTTTTTTTCCTGCATCAGGAGTAAATCAAAACATTGTCTGGTATTAGGAAGCACTAAGCTACTAGAAACATTTGTCATTAAAATATTGCTCATTAGTACTCCTGTGACTAGTCGTACAAATGATAAAGGCACTGTACTTGAGTAGCTGTCTCACCAATACTGCAAGGAAAGATAATGTTATCTACTTGCTCCTGCTCAGCATTGCCTTAGGCTTTCGTGCCAAAATGTCATGCTGCAGTTGAGCATTGACTGATAACTTAAATGAATTTAAAGCTCATCAACTTCCAGATATAGGTGGCCACAGAATGCAAGGAGTGATCCAGAAGTGACGGCTCAAAGCCAAAGGATTTTCTTTTTATTAATATTTCTGTTTGCTTGGGATAGGAGACAAAATACGTTTGTAAACCCCAAAGGGCTGCAGGTGCAGAAAACTGCTCCAGCTGGCACTTGGAATGATTGGAAAGATCAATTACCTCCAGCAAAGCTCTTCTCCTGCCTTCGCCCTCTGGTTGCTCATTTTTGGGGCTCATCAGGAGCTGTATATACAAAAAATGAATTAAAAAGACTGGGGTTCTGTGGTCAGTACCAGCTTCCAGTGAGCAGTCTCAGCACTTGCTCTAGAAGCCCTAAATTTGTCTTAACCCATCAGATGGGACAACGTGAAGTGCTTTTGACTTTCAAGTGACATTTTTTTGCTAATCGTGCTCTTCTAGATTGAAAGCACAAAGTCATGTAGTATGATGTATCTTTCTTTTTGAAGTTGAGTTGTTGACTGGGAATGAACGGACGGATAAGTAAATTATTGGAGAGGGCTAATGAATGAATTGGGCTAAATATTATTCTGTGTTATTTTCCTGTTGCCTATGGAGCATTAAAAACTCTACAGGGTGCCAACATGTGGCATTGGTAGGGTGTTGTGACAGTAACACACTAAATGTTTGTACAGGTTGTCATCGATATTTGAAATCACTTGTAAAAACAGCACCTTAATATAATACACTGTTACCATGCCATACTCCAAGTGGCGGTATGCTTTTACTTTTTGGTACAGAAACTATGTGGTGTTTGCTCTTTTCTGTTTGCTTTTTAGTCTTTCTTATGGATGGTCTCACAAAGACACTGCATGAACGATACAGGGATAATGCTCAGATGGTAAAATATAGGTACGTTTAGCACAGGTAAGATGCATTGTACGTTACATTATCACATCATTCATAGTTAAATATGCTGCTTATTTGCTTTTCGTGATGCTTTCCTCTAAGATGCCAAGCGCCTAGGAGCCTTGACAGATTAATGTTTCTTTCTCCATCAAAAAAAAAAAAAAAGCTTATGTTCAAGGGCCTAGAGCCAACACGAAGTGATCATGAACCAAGGACTATCTTTTGTAGCTCAAGATCATGCTATTGAAGCATGTTGTCTCTACAACCTTGTGGAAATGAAAACCAGAGATGTAATTTGCCATTGGCTAGAAGCTTTCTTTTGGAAGCTGGACAGCTGGACCAGGAAACTCAGGCAGCTTGAAACACTGACACAACATCCTTCAGCACAGAAACGGTAGGTGCATTAATTCCAGATTGCGTGGATCCTGAATTGTGTAGCACGTTATTGAATCTGTAAAGTCGCATGGCTTAGTTATATTAAAGATTCAAAGTCCTTACAAACTCTGGAAAAGATGGTAAAATAGTTGTTCCCACTGATGTGAAGGCATTCCTCCCAAACCACCCCCCACCTCAACCATGCGTTTGCCCCTTCTTAAGACCAAAGCCAACCGCTGTCCTGGTTTCACCACCCAGCTATCTGGTGGGGTCCCCTCCTTTCTGTTCCCCATTCTGGACTGCCTGGATGCTTTCATTTTTATTTATTTATTTATTTTTGCTGCTTTTACTGCCTGGCCAGGCACCCCTGGAACATCCATGCAGAGCGAGGAGCAGCCAGCTCACCTCGAATCTTGCACCTGTATTTACAAATCCACTCTTAAGATAAAACATAAAAAGAGTAAAAACTCGTCAGTTACCATTATTTTTACTGGCTTTTTTTTTTTTTTTTTTTTTTTTTTTTTTTTTTTTTTAAAAAATCCTTTGTTTT